ATTCAATCGTTTGAATAGATTTGTATTAATTGGACCCTTTATGTGCTTAGGGGAAATTATTTGTGGCGTTTCCATCTTCGCTGGTTTGCGTGGCTCTTCGACGATGGAGTATTTGTGAGTGGACCTCTTCTAAAAGGCATATTTTAATGTTAGAATTGCATACTTGATAAGCATGATTTAATGCATATGTTTTATGGAACGTTATGAGTGAATTGGATTTACCTTTATATAATTATCATGCTTTACTGAGGATATTTTGGAATACCATACTATATCGTTTTCACAATCTTTGCAGTATATATGATAGATGACTATATACTATGATGTTTGAGCTACTGAGCTCTGTTGATATATATACTTATGTTGGAAAGTATATATATATGTTTTTGTGCTTATCTAGTGGTCGCTATTCTGCCTACGGGCGATGATACTTATATTGGCTTCGGCCGGGAGTTGGTAAATGGCTACGGTCGGGAGATGTTTATATTGGCTTCGGTCGGGCGTTTGTAGATGGCTTCGACCGGGAGATGTTTGTATTGGCTTCGGCCAAGCGTTTATAGATGGCTTTGGATGATCTTGATATCACTATTTAGCACACTATATATGATATATGTTTTATGAAGTTCTATGACATGCTAGGGTTTTCGGAAAACCTATTACATATTATGCTATTGAGTTTTCATAAAACTTTGGGGGTTAGTACATGGTTGAATAATTATGTTCGTACTATTTATATATCAACTTGGTCCACTCATGTTTGTTTTGCACCCCCTCAGGACATAGGAACGAGGTTTACGATCTGAGCGACGAGGCATTTCCCTACCAGTGATATTGTGCCATCCTTCCCGCTATGACATCATTGTAATAGCACATTCCGATTGTATTCTCAATTAGATGTATGCTCTGAACATGTTATGCATTATCACTATGTTTTCATTGTTGCCAGTTGAATATTATTTTAGCAAGTTGTATTCGATTATTAATATTAGTATTTCGATCGAAATTTATATGCATGTTTCATGTGTTCTCAGCATATGCATTCATTAAATGGCTTTCGTCATCCTTGGGTGTCGGCCAACACGTGACCATCCCGATGTCCCTCGAACATCATTTGGATGTCATTGGGGTGCGTCAGATTGGTATCAAAGTCAGGTTTGTCTAGAGCATACATAGGATTACATCGTACACTAGTAGTTTGTTAGTCATGACATCATTTGGATGTCATGACTTCCGAATTTGTTGTCTTTCGACACGTTGTGCAATCCTCATTAGACTTCGAATAGTCATATCCTATTGAAGAAGAAGAAACTCGTGTCGGGATTATGCCTCATCGATGACGAATTGGATTGTTGGATGACTTTCAACATCAAACCGATACTCTGCAACATGCGTTCCCTAGGAATTACAGGCAGAGTCGGTTTTACATTGAAGTGACATGATTTCGAAATCTCAGTAAGAGGAAGTCTGGTTAAGACTAGTTGAAGATCTAAAGTGGCAATGCCACTCTGCGACATGCGTTCCCTAGGAATTACAGGCGAAGTCAGATCTACATAAGAGTGTTGGAGAAACGAAAAAATCTTAGTGGTACGAGTCGGTTAAAACCAACTAGAGATCTGTTGTGGTGTTGTATTATGCAACATGCATTCCCAGGAATGGCGGGCAGAGTCATGTCTTAGTGGTAATTGATAGGGATTTTTACCACCTACAAAAGTAGGGATAAAAACACTTAAAAATACTTGCAAGAGTACAAGGTTGTCGTAGTATAGCAACTCAAGCAATGTTGTTTCCACATGGATTGAATGAATAATTTGTATTTATACTAATTCTTAGCTAATTATTTAGAACAAAGTTGTGAAAATGATGATTTTGGAATTTAAAATAATAAAAATGAATTTAAATTAAAGACAATTAAATAAATTAACTAGAGAACAATTTAAAGAAAATCAATTTGTAAAAGCCTAGGGTTCTGCCGTCCCCTTAACAATCCTATGCAATTTTACCAATTACTTACGAATTTCCACACACATGCTTTGAAGGTTAGGTTTTCCTAATGCATATTTTCCTCGTGATGTTCAAGCGAAAACATATATCTAACATGCAACCCGTCTGTGATGTTCAGATCAAATATAAACATGCAAGACTTATTAAGCTTTGTGAAAACCCTTTGAAAAACCATGCAACCCTTAAGAGCGTGATGTTCGCCTTAAGTGAACTTACAATTACTAATCACAAGAAGCCCTCCTCAATTTCAGGGTGATGTTCCAACAGAAATTGCATCAAATTACTTGTCTAAAAATCCTAATGGTCGCGAATCACTAAGACAATTAGATAGTTTTAATTGCGGTGATTAATAATTCAAAGCAAGCGTGCATCCATTCATAAGCAAATTAATAAAATCACATATTCATGCTAAAGCTCATGGCTTCGCCCTAGCAAACGGAAATTAGTTACGAACAACTATAAAAACTAAAGAAAATATATTAACTAGAAAAAAGGATTGAAAACACCTTGTAGGTAAAAAGTCTGAAGTTCTCCAAAATAATGCGTGCCTTCTCCCCCTAACCCTAATCGCTTAAAAGCCTTATTTATACTACTCCAAATTAAAACCCTCATAGAAAAGGTTTTCTAAAAACTAGGAAATAAAATAACAAAAGATAACTAGGAATTACATTCCTATTATGACTAGGAAATCTGCCCAGCAGAGAAACAACCACGTTTCTGGACCTTTAGGGCTCCAAAACGACTCAAACTAAAGATCAGGACCTCATCTTCAAGTTCCAAGAAGAGCCAAGTCCAAAATCCATCATCTTCCAGCTAAAAAGTCACAAATAAGCTATGTAGCCAATCTGCCAGCACTGCATGCTAGGCATAAATTAATTCGCCATGATCTGATGCTTCGAGATAAAATTATGAATTTTGACACAATCTTCTTGACAGACTCACGAACCCGCTCCAATTGGAATCACTAAAAAATTCCACCGTTTGATTACTTTATGCACAAAACAAGTTCGCATGTCCTACATTAAAAACACATAGCAAAGCATCAAAATCTCACCAAAATAATAACCAAAATATACCAAGAATAGGAAATAATATATAGTATAAAATCGACTCATCAGCAATTACTCGAAACCTTCGAAGTGCGTGTTGGAGAAAACGAGTAAGCGCCAGTTGTGATGACATTTAGTAAGTGGTAGTTGGTGGGATCGAATCAATGTTCTTAGACTCATTCTTGCTGAGGAAATTCATGTAGATCTTTAGAACAGTTCTTGGCGATTGTTCTAACGATAATTTTCTTGCTTACTCCAACGACGAAGTCAAGTTCCCTAACCATTGACTATCAGCTTCACACCAAATCCTTTGAGCGTTGACTTCGTTTAGATTTTTATACTTTTCTTAGGAGACCTTTTGGTAGCAGGCGTTATTCTCATCAATTTCCAAAAGGGGTTGAGACCGTTGGAAATTGAAAATCCTCACAAGGAGTTGCGAAATACGAAATATCCTTAGACTTGTTTTGACCCTCAAATTCTTGAGTGTTCTTTTGGCCTTCTTGATATGGTTCTCACTCAATCCGTAAGGATTTCATGAGGGATCGACTCAACTGAAGTGTGCGCCCAGTTCATAATGATTCGGACAGGAACGTTAGGAGCATAACCTTCTCACAAGCTTACCAGTTTTATCAGGAAGAGTTCCATGTGGGTATGATGTTTGAGCCGTCTTTTAGTAAGAATTTGATGAAGGTTGCAGTGCAGGTGGTCAGCGGATTGCATCACCAATCACTATCTTCATGCAGAAATGAATTGTCACCTCTTATTATCTTGCTACAATTCATAAACATCATATCGTACTCTAGTAGTTCTTTTCCAACGATATGTGTTTGTCTCAACGCATTTTTTCACTGCTTCACTCTAGGAACTTTTTTTTCATAAGTACGTGGATGTCGAAACACTTCTAGTTGATATGATTGGTGCACTTTGGAAAGGTACGATAGCGCGATCGAGGCGAGAATTGGACGATCTATGCACACTCTCACATTGCAAGGCAAACAGGTAATTATGCACCCTTGGGAAATTACTACTTGTTTATCGAGACAACAATGTGTTGTCGATATTGCAGGCTGCAAACTGTGATATTGATAGCTTGTTCGTTTGGTTCATTAAGCAAGTGGGCAAGTAGACCCGTCTACAATAGATGTTACTAAGTAGTCATTGTTGGGGCTCGATCCAAAGACTATTTTTCTTGTAATGCATGATGTTACGTATGTTTGGGCGAGACCCACTTTCGTTTTTCAGTTTTGACTTTCAGTACGAGTTTTTCAACCTATAAGTTAGTACATACCTATGTTGACGCGATCGTATTTTGCGTACTTATTTTTTACCTTACGTCAATATATGTTTTCGACTTTACATCTTTATAAAGTATGTTTTCCACTTTTACATTGTGATAGGGGAAGAAAGTATGAGCTTGGAGGCATGAAAGATGGAATCATTGCAACCCGAGCGACAGAGTGGCATTTCCCTACGAGACATTTCCCTACCAGTGATATCGTACCATCCTTTCTGCTTTGACATCGTTGTAATAGCACATTCCGCTTGTATTCTCAATTAGATGTATGCTCTGAACATGTCATGCATTATCACTATGTTTTCATTGTTGGCAAATGAATATTATTTTAGCAAGTTGTATTTGATTATTACTATTAGTATTTTGAGCGAAATTTATATGCATGTTTCACATATTCTCGGCATATGCATTCATTAAATGGCTTTCGTCACACCCGAGTGTAGGTCAGCATGTGACCATCTCGATGTCCCTCAGACATCGGGAACGGGGCGTGTCATGTGCGGGAGGTGAAAATGGCTCGTAAAAAACATTTTCCATACTGAATCGTTGTTATGTTGTGTAGACAGTTTGAGATAGAGGGAATGTGAGCACCATCTCCATTGAAACAACAAGCTTTTGTATTGATTCCATTTGGAAACAACACAACACAACACAGCATAGCAAGAGTCATGCATATATACCGAAGTATAATTACTTAACACGAATACAACCTCAGTTCAACTCCAATAAACTTCGTATGAAGTATTTATAAAGAACATGATACACGTCTTATTGAATAAGCAAATGTTAAACTCACAAGAACAAGTGAACCTCGGTTCAACTCCAATAAACTTCGTATCCGTATTTATAGAGAACAAGATACACGCCTTATTGAATAAGTAAAGACTAAACCCACAAGAGCAAGTGAACCTAAGTACGAGAATTTTTCCGTTATTATTTTCCAACACCCCCTTTCAAACTCATGCTTGTGGCATCATGATTTTGGTGAGAAGAAACCCTACCTTGTGCCTTGGACCAACAAAATCAAACCCCACAATATTCCTTGACGGAAAAATCAAATCCCACAGTGGACATATTTTCATAATAATATTGAAAATATTCCACTAGGTCTATTGGCTTATACTGCATGGGGTAGTCCTTGTCCGTAAGCTCATTTGGTACATATATCACTCCTTTGTTCCAAAAGAATTGTCCGAACGAGTATCTTACCTTATTTTCCTTCAAAACGACTCTGTGCATACAAGATTTTATTCTGTCGTTACTCCAAACCTAGGCCAAATAAACCACGCATGTAAACAACATCAATAAAATATAGCTATCAAAAGTTTAAGTTAGGTTGTTAAACACACTTCATCTGTCCCTTTGTTCTTGAAACTTACATTGCCTTACACTACAAGAAAAAAAAACATGTCATTTAGACACACATAATGCATTCAAAAGTAGTCCCAATGGCCCCTGAATTGTACTTTACTTGGTAGGAATGGTTATTTTCAAGGGTATATATATTCATGTTGTCGGAATTAGTTCACTATTTTTTTATGAGAAGTATGTCCTCCCGATAATGCCTTCACATTTTTTAAGGATTCGTTAGGAATTGGTCATTAAAAAGTATTTTCAAATTTCTTTTTTTAATTTAGTCAATTTGTGCACTTATGATGTTTTTTTTATTATCATATATATAGACTTTTCGAAGGATTTTCTATAGTCAGTTGGAAGCAAACTAAGAGGATGAAGATAGTTGTGTTCAATTTTCATGTTTTTCCATTAAGTCCAACGTTTCAGTTTTGCAAATCAATCCCGTGAAAGTTACTTTCTCGTCAAAATTGCGCAACTATGGGAGAATGAAGATTTGAAGGCTTCTCCAATTTTTTCAAGTGTCGTGCCTTATATGCCTAGACATAGAGCTACAAGTTTCCTATTTTTCAGAATTCTACATAACTGAAGGTGGAACGAACCCAAATCTAGCATGAAAGATGGATGACATTTTTACAAGTCAAGAAGAATTCTTTCTTAGTTTGTGTCCAATATTGTTTTGGATTTTGTTTTTCTAGGAGAGTTTTTACCAGACTTTTAGTGTTTTTTTAGTATAAATATATGTCCTATGATCTCTCTACATGTCACCATACACACAAATATGTCCAAAAGAGAAAGGAGTGCTTAGGAGCACATAAATACTACAGCTGATTTGAGGCTTGCTTCTTGTGATTAAAAGGGTTGTAATTTTTCTAGGGTAAACACCGTATTCCTAAGGTTTGCATGATTTTCAAGGTTTTCACAAAACGTAATGAGTTTCTCTATGTTCATAATTGTACTAAACGACATAGACAAGTTGCATGTAGAGATATACGGGTGAGCCTAAATACCATATAGTTAGTTTATGTGTAAGGAAAACTATTCAACAACATCAATTGGATTAATCAACGGATAGGTACATAGAAGCTATTGGATTACTAGTGGTGGATTTGATGTCCTAGCGCCTTCACATCTTAATTTTCAAATTTCATCATTGTCTTTGTTTAGTTTATCTTTTAATTTCTCTTGTTAATTTTAGTTTTAATCAATCCTTAAATTCAATTCGTTTGTATAATTAAGTTTGGCGTAATTGTTGGTTTAATTGGTTTTAACGCAATTCCTGCAAAATCAACCTTGTACTTGCTTATCTATACTACTATTGAGTCATGCGCTTGTGAGTTAAAATTGAATTAAGTTATTATTAGGTTAATTTGAATATACATCAATGATTAATCACATTTTTAGAGAAGCCAACAGGACGGCTTATTGTTTTGCTAATTTGGCACATACATCGCGAACTTCCGTCATGTAATAGTTCTTAGGTTATATATAAACTTCTGTTATCCCTCAAATGAAGCTTGTTTGACTGACATCTTGTGATGACTATTTCATAACTTTTTTTAAGGCTCCGAATCATTTATATTTTAATTTATTATTCATTTATTATCAATCCCAAAAAAAAAAAACTAGGCAAATCTAAAACAATTAAGAGATTCAATCGTAGTCAAGAAAAAAGATGAATATAGTTCTTCAAAGAAACACTAAAATGACTATCATTTAATCCAACGATCATATGGTTTCGGATTTGGTTAATTTTTGGGAGGAACTGAGCCCTACAAAAGTGATGCCTGAACGACATATCCATGAAGAGAGAGAGCTAAAATCCATGAAAACTAAAGCAAGATTAATGAAAGGGTGTGTTGACGTACCTGAAGTCCATCACCCGCTAGGAATAATAACGATGAAGGCAGAGGATCATAACCAATCCACTCGTTATCTTTTGAGCGTAGCTCAACACCATACGTATCTTGATGGAGTATGCCAGTAAAACACTTGTCTGTATGATTGTGTTCAACAGTTTCAGTTTCATCTGTCTTGGGTTCATCATCTTTTACAAGTACGGTAATGGGCATGGTCGATTGAATGTGATCATCATGGTATTTCTCTACCTTGTAGTTTTCAAATACCATTTTCGTCACAACTTGATTTAATTCTGTCATCACTTTTGAATACAGATCAGCACTCTCACTGCCCAAGATATAAAGAACAAATTATTATTATTATTAGTAAAAACAAGCATAAAATGTTTAAGGACAGATTCGCATTAGCTTGTTGATAAAGAAATCGAAAGTGTTGATAACAAAACATATAGCAGTAGGTATCGAGATGTAGAAAAAACTGCTAAAACTATCGAAATGTGCAGTAATTTATACCGAAACTGGTCATTTCCTTCCGGCCAAAGTTGACGTGTGACGTTCTTTATTTTATCAGTACTTGAATGAAATGACATGTATTCACGGGTAGGCAGCCTTACGTAACCCTCAACTAGAGGTTTTTCCTGAGGAAATTGCGCTTTAATTTCGTCGGGGAAATCAAACAACTCGTTGAATGTCCCAAACATGGTGTCATTAAGCTCCCGGGAAACTTTGTTGGGAAGGACTGCCAGGAAACAGCCAAACTCTTCGAGAGCATTACAAATGTCTCTGCGTACTGAGAGCCAAGAACTTGTCCCTGACTTCCAGCAGTCCTCTTGGGAAAAATCTACTACTGGAATTTTGGCCGCTGTTTGGGTACTGGAAGCCATCTTTTTCTTCTCACGAGCACCTAACTGATATGTTTTGAGGCTCTACTCTTTAAGGACATATATGTATGTGTGTGTATATATATATATATATGTATTGAACGGCAAGCTGTATGTTTCGCTCAATTAATTATCAGATAACGGTAAGGGTGTTGGTTCATCGATCACCATCATCTGCGTGTTGTTTTCTTCAGCACTATACGTACACTGCTTTTAGAGTCCAAAATGGAGTGCGTGGCGGAGCCAATATATGGGAATCTGGGGGGCTTTGAATTTTTATATGAACCGTGTAGTTTTTATAATAGGGAGACCACTATATTCTCAGACCCACTCTATTTGGCAGGAGAAGAACGAATCTTGTTCAGCACACCGGGCGAGGATCAAATGATATTTAAAGATTACAAATATTTTTTCCCATCTGCCTCACCCACCCACCCCCACCCGACACAACACCTCTCCATTTCTCTCTAATAATTCATCCAATTCAGAAACCCTCCTCACTGACCCTTAAACATGCAGTTATCAGATAACGATACTGGTGTTGAACAAAAGGCGTGAACTTCAAGGCTTTCACCATCATGGCATCATCTGCATGTGTTTGATATATATATATGGTTGAGCATGCAGGTTTATGTTTATAAATATTGCTTTTCTTACCCTCCGTAATGGCTGCAACATATTGCCACTTGCGGTCCATATGCTGCGAGTGACAATGGATTAGATCCCAACAACTTATTGCCACTTAAGGACTAAAATATTGAATCTGTGCCATGTAGATTATTTAGGAAGGTTGAATATTCTTGTGCTTATAGATATGAACTTTGATTTCATCTTCAAAGCTCGCATTGCTATGCAGGGCGCGATAGTACTTTGTTATTTGGGTTCATATGTATGAGTATGGAGATGCATGAATACACAAAAAGGAATCTATCACCTTCTAGTAATTGTTCAATAGAAGGAGATATCCCTTGGTCCACTTGAAGTTCCATCTCGGAAATCTCTGCTAGAGTAGTTGTTGATCAAGTTATGTTTGTAAGAATTGCTTCAACATGAGATGCATCATGATGATTGTAGATATCTATTATTGTCGGTTTTAGTTGGAACCTAATAGATCACACACCTATGATAGCTCTAGCAACGATAACAAAGTGATAATTAGAAATAATTAACTGGTAATTATATTGAATTAATTATCTAGGCTTGTTGGACATGATTTTAATTAAATAAGCTTTGAGCTTTATTTAATTAAAAGGGGTTTAAGTCATAATCCTAAGTGGGCAAGTGAAAGAGACTTGTCGCATGGACTAAGTTCATGGCGTCAAAACCCTAAAAGGTGCAGCTAAGGGGTCTATATATACGCCTTGTGTTCCTCTCATATGTCCCTAATGCTAAGTGCAATCGGTTTTGTCCCTTGGAGAAAAGAGAGAAAAACTAAGCCAAACACACCTTTGTGCCGCCTAAACCCTATTGATCAAAGTGAGGGATATTGGTATCCCATTTAAATCAATCACTCCATCATCCGTTGCTAGTTTATCAGTGAGATACTCTTAGAGGCTCAACACTTGGGGAGCTTCACATGTGTAAACGCTCAAAATTGAGAGGTCAACAAAAGCCAATATGGTCAACTGTTGATGGGCTTGAGGCAATGACTTTAAATGATAGACAACGAGATTTAAGTGGTTCACTCTTGAAAATGAGATACGTCTACTATAAGGCTACGTATATATATGATATGTGTTACAAGAAGTGCTTAGTAATAGTGTAATCCTTCTTTCTTGTTTTTATCCGACTCTTTACAGGTACTTATCCCTCTTATATAGGCCTCCAAAAAGTCCATAAGTCTTGGCTCTCATGTACTCCACTGCCATGGCATTAAATGAACTAAATACACAGCCTAATTTACTGGCTATTCCTCCAACATCGATCTTATTGACAAGTGGAAGCAAAATGATATTCATTCGGGGTTGATTTCAGCACATCGGGCGAGTTTCCAATCATATTTATAGAACCCATGTTGACCAAATCTCAAAGGGGAGTAATTTTTGCATGCCCTCTAAATTTTGGCTTCCGGTTCTTTTATTTGTTCAATTCAATTGTTAGAAACAAATGAAGATTGTGTGGAAAGTGAAAAAATGTTGTGCAAAAATCATTTCCCATACTACACCGTTGTTATTTTGTAGAGGCAATTTGAGATAAGAGGGAGTTTGAGCTCCATCTTCTTCGAAACAACAGGCTTTTGGATTGATTCCATTTGGAAACATCCAACAACACACCACAGGACAGCATAGCAAGAATCATGCATAGAAAAGTATACGCCACAATTACTTAAGAAGCAGAATTGCTTAGGGTACTCCTGATAACTATTTGGTTTTTGTTTTTATTTACGGAATTTTAATTGGCATTTTAAAATTCTAATGACTTACTTTTTGTAATGCTCTCTGGAACTCGATAGCATCTCACTTTGTCCAGATTCTATTAATTTCGTCAAAGTTGGTGTCCTGGCTTAAAAAAAAATATGTGGCTTCTAAGTGGTAATTTAGAAGGGAATAGGATTCTTCCTATCCAAATTTCCCTTCTTTTAGTCTCCCCTATTTGAACGGTCATTGAGTCACGCTAGCATCTTGTGTTGATTTCTTTATAGAAAAAAAAAGAAGATGAAGATAAAAAACATTTGTATGGGGCTTAACTTGCCACTGAGGCAGAATGGCACACTCATAACATTCATAACTTGCCATGCATTAAGCATTATTGCATTAGTATAATTTCTTATTTTAATTTCATATCATAACTAAAAAATTAGTTATGCCAACATCTTTCAGATATTTAACCATGACAAGTGGTCCAATGAAAAAGTGTGAACAACTCCCTAAAGAAAATAATGGGAGGTCATGGGTTCGATACTTGGTACGCAGTGAATCTGCTTGATTTTGGCTACAGGTAGAGTGCAACTCCTAACTAGCCTTTTCCGGGTTCAGAATGAGTGGATAACAATGGTTCGCCATCTATTCTCTTTTTTTTTTTGAGAGAAAACAAAATTAGTTTAAAATGTAATGGAAAAGTTAATTGTTAAAAGGCCTGACTTTCAAGGACACCATAAGCACAAAGTTATTAAGTTATCTTTAAAAAATTAGGTTTATTGTCATTTAGTATTATGGTCTAATGGTGTTCCTCTTCATTTGTAATTGAGAGACTTAGGTTTGATTCTCGCCAAAGACGAATTTAAACCACATTATTGCTAGCCCATTGTAAGGGTTAATCCACTCTTTCACATTCTTAGTATAGATAATATCGTTTGTTAAAGTTACGCTACCGACTTTGATGATTACACCACGTATGTCTTTTTACAAAACATATGTAGATTACTACTAGCATACATCGTCCGAATTACAAGAAGAAATATACTGTTACATTATAGTCGTTCAATATTATATTACAAGGTAACGTAATTATGGTAAGGTAGTAGTTAACAACACAAAATGATTTTATTATTACTATGACCAAGTCGCTCGTTATGTTGTAGACGTCCTTTACACTGTCAAGGTAGATTATTATACTTAAACGTGATTAAGTTACAACACCAACGTTGATGATTATTAAATCATGGACGTCATACTATAGTATAGACGTAGGTTAATACTAGGAGGTGTCATGAAATTACATAATATTATAGTGGTGTTACAACATGATGTTAACATTCAACGTCTGAAGTATAATAGTAGGAATACACTATAATTGTTCAAATTTATACTCTAAGTATGCATAATTATAGTAATATCTAGAACGATATATTTTACACTAAGAGGAAGGGGAAGTTTAGAAGTCACACAATGGGTAACATAATTTGGTATCAAATCATCATCCACGTGATTCAAACAAAAAACCTCTCACTTACAAGTGTAATGGAATATTACTAGACCATGATATGAATGACAATTATAGTAATGTAATTAATTATGCAAAATGACATTGGTATTAAATGGTACTGGTTCCATTCGTTATTATATGAGAAATTGGACCAATAACCCTTGAATTTTGGTCCAATTAAAGCTTTGGTCAGTGAACTAAAAATCTAAGTATTAGTCCTAAATTTATTATAATGTGAAGCAGTGGTCATTTTGGCTAACTTCGTACTTCGTACTTTGTTAAAGCTTTCATTCATTTTTTTGTTCATTTAAACCCTTTATTTTAGATGAAAGTTTTAACAGAGTTAACCAAAATAATAATTGCTCCACGTTATAACAAATTTCAGGGCCAATACTAACAAATATTTAGTTTCAAGGACCAAAACTTTAATTGAGCTAAAATTTATGAATCATTACCCAATTACCTTTTAATTATAAGAAAAAATAATGAAAATAAATTGAAACTTTTAAGTTTTAGCCAAAAGAATAAAATATGTTGTAAATAAATAGGATAGAAGTGACATTTTAGAGTAAAAATATGTTTGGCATTAAAAATGATCAGGAATGTTTTGTTAAATATATGGAGACGTACAGTTGACAAAAAAGAGCAAGGGAACCAAACACTGTAAATTTGGAGGGGACGATTGGAGAACCAGAGAAGAGGAGGAAGATGAAGAAGAGGACAGCGTACGCTTGGGGAGTGGCCATTCTTTGCTTTGTGGTCTTGATGATCGTCACTCCTGCCATTCCCCAGTCTCAGGCTTACCACGATTTTGCTGACCAACGCGAGTTTTTCGGTATCTCTCTGTCAATTTAGTTACACACACTGCAGTGTTCGTGCTGTGTATCTCTAACCATTTGTGATTTCATAGATTAGCTCGTTCTGAGATTGGAAATTGAATGTTAATTTTGCCCCTTTTTGCAATCAGAAGAGGGTTTTGTTTAGGGTATTGTGGAGGCAATCAAACTTTGGTTGAGATTGAAATTAGTTTGTGGAAGTAGATGGGTTTCGGATAAAGTACTCTAATTCGTGAAATATTTAGTTGGTAAAGATTCACAATTTCATTTTTTGTTTAAATTCTTCTGATGAACGAATTGTAGTTATTTTCTAAATATATGGTAATGGAAAAATTAGAATTTGCAATCTGTGCTTATGTCGTAATGAATGCTGGAAATTGCAAGGCAGTGGCTAAGCTAAGCGGTGCATAATGGATCACGGCTTTTAGGATTAAATCATAACATGTATGACTATGAACAAAGTCATGAACCTGTAGTTAGTGCAGAATAGAAATTCGTGAGAGATGACTGAAAATTGGGTGTTGTTAGTAATTTTTCTTTTCCCGTTTCAAATTCGGACTGATTTTCTAGGTTGATTTGATAAGGTTTTAGTCAACAGCTCAGAGTCAAACTGAAATGTTGATTATGATTCATACTTCGAATTTGATGGTAATTTGAATTTGTAGTAGAGTTTTGTTATTTTTAAGGTGTGTTTGGTTCTACTGTGATTTAGTGGGTTGTGTGCGAATTAAAGATTTTAGTATAACTAATACTAAACACACTACTTTAACTTATGAACTCATGACCTTGTGGTATGCTTGCGTTTCACTTGGGTATCGGCAAATGTACTACTTTAACTTATTCTAGGATATGTTAAGTCTCACCATTCTTTAAGCTTGATCCTTATTTAATGCCTTTGATCTTTTTTCTCCATTGTACTCAAACTCTTCATTTCATTTCCAGGTATTCCAAATACACTTAACGTGGTTTCAAATTTTCCTTTTCTTGTTATTGGTCTCATCGGTCTTTTCCTCTGCTATTACAAGGATTATTTCAAGTTCAGGTACTGTGGTTCTTTAATTTGGGCAAATTACAATGCCTTGAATGGAGTAAAAGCTTTATTGTATGATTGGCGATAATTTTTTGTTGATAGCTTGCAAGGAGAGCTTTGGGGTTGGACATGCTTTTACATCGGCGTAGCTGCTGTTGCAATTGGATCATCATACTATCACCTGAAGCCAAATGATGCCCGTCTTGTGTGGGACCGCTTGCCAGTGAGTTTAGTTTTGCGATGAAATACAAATGCTATATAGTATCAACTAATGTTTTCATTTTTTGATCAGTGAATATCAACCGCTGTTAAGATGTCATATTTTACATCGATTAAATTTATATTTTTTCTTCTTCATGACAACTATAGATGACAATTGCATTCACATCGATCATTGCAATCTTTATCATTGAAAGGATTGATGAGAGGAAGGGAACAATTTCCATCATACCTCTACTTTTGGCGGGTATAATCAGCATATTGTATTGGAGGCAAGCACCATATTTAATTTCTTTTAGTGATAATGATTACTCTTTCTTGAGCTCTATTTCTATTGTTGTCACCTGGATTCCTTCATTTTATGTACTGAAGTATACTTTCTGGAGTATGGCTAGTTTTCTGTACGAAATGAGTTTGGCTTTTGTATGCCGTTTTATTGGCATGCAGTGAAATTGGGATTGTAGAGTTATGAGAGAAATAGGCTCTTGGTACTTAAATCACTTTTAGACTTGGGCTGAATACAGACATATTTGGGAGTCTATGGGGTACCCTTATATCAAAAATAATTTCTGTAATTTCGTTCCACAGGTTCTTTGATGACCTCCGTCCATATGCTATGGTCCAGTTTCTTCCTTGCATTGCCATTCCTCTGATGGCTATCTTGTTACCCCCAATGTACACTCATTCCACATATTGGCTTTGGGCAGCAGGTATGTTTCTATGTTCCTTTGTGATTTTGTAAATTTTGGTACCTTTTTTACCGTGTTAGTTATGAAATCTTCCCGTTATTGCAGGATTTTATCTTTTAGCTAAGGTGGAAGAAGCTGCGGATAAAGTGATCTACGATTGGACTCATCATATTGTCAGCGGGCACACCCTTAAGCATTTGTGCGCTGCAATGGTTCCTGTATTCTTGACACTTATGCTTGCAAAGAGGACTGTTGAACCAGAGAGGTATGTCTTATTATCCCTTTTAAGTTAAATATATTTTTGTTTCATGTATTGATACATGAGATGTCTTAAAAGTAAGCATCATGATGGAATTGGTTGAACTTTTCCACATCTGTTTAGCTTGGATGCACATTCTACATCCATGTGCATAATAAATTTATAAAAGTTGACCGAACATGTACTTTTCTAGCTCCTCTGCTTAATTGCCTCTTTTTCTTTTTCATTTCTTTGTCGTGAAAACTGACTATATCATGCTTAGATGCTTCGACTTGTACGATATTTATTTGCCTTCCCTGTCACACACTCGTTACTGGTGCATATGGCCTGATGTCATCTCTGGTTTTTGGTATTTATGGAGTTGAACACCACCATGGGATGATTCAAACAAATCATTCTTTCAAATTTACTGAAAATTGATAGTGCCTTAATTGACAAGTCAAATCTGTCGTTAAAACATGCCTTTCTGCTAGATTGGTCTGATATATTTGGGAGAACCAGAGATAACTGTACAATATGTTTACTTATATTTTCAGCAGATGCAGTTTCTTTTTTGTTTTCTTGTTTTCTGAGGATTGTTCCGTCAGGGTTGATTCTATTTGAACCTGCAAAGGAAATGTTCTGATAGCCCCAAACACCATACGTTCATTTAAAGACCTACCTGGTTATGTACTCATTTGATTTGACCCTTGTAAAAGTTTACTAACATGAGACAATGTACAGGCAAAGTTTGCTCAAGGTTTGGAAGATTTCCTGGACTAATTTTAGGAAGAAAGATGGCACAGTGGAGAGTGATGGCACTGTGGAGAGTTACACTTGTACCTACTCAACAGTTCCGGTTGAGGAATCACGATAATCTTGGTTTCCGATTCCTATTTCATTACGTAGAAGATAGCTTTTCACCTGTATTTGGACAGAACACAAGAAAGAAGAAGAAAACACAGCCGCACACTGACCTACTTGTCGGCAACACTCAACAGTCAACATGTAAAAACGATAATTGTAGGTTTGCTTCAAAGTAACAAAGGTATCGACACTTCTCGTATAGTATATATAGAATTGGATAATCATACTAGTGATTTCCGCTGTGTTCATAGTGAATGATATATTTGCTATCTCTGCACTGTGTTTTCTGTTTACATGGATGAAGGTTTTTGTTCGGAATGTGTCGTGTTTATAAGCCGGGTTTACGTTCAGATGTGTGCGCGCATGACCAAAATGTTTTTGCACTAAGCAATGCTTGTTTTACTATTACTTGTCTGTGGTGCATGTGCCTCCACAGTCAACAAGAAATTGGTGGTTCAGGAACTTTGGTTCGGTTTGGTAACTTCAGTTCAGTTCGATTGTGGCACCCCTAGTGGCTATGTTGCCAAACAAATTGTTAATCAAGAGCAGGAGAGATTTTTCAGTGTGCTCGAAACATTGAATGATATGTACGTGTTATTACACAATTGGATGGAAACTTGGAAAAAAAATTTCTCTAATTGTATGATGACATGGTGTGTACTACCTCATGTTCTAGGAACACTGAAAATTTTCTCAATCAATGAAGCTAAAGATTCTCAACCAGAATAAAAAGACATTAACCAAAATTTTATCCGAATTTCGAAAAATACAACACTTCTTGTCACATGCCCTTTCATTTTGTAACTTCAAATTAACATTATGAAAAATACAGTACTCTTTGTCACATGCCATATCATTCTTCAAATTTGCATTTGATTCATAAATTTTTTTATTCTTAAGTGGCCGATTGATAATCATTTATTTTTTATTTTTTCGGTGTATTAAAATGAAATGGTTATAAAATGATATCTAATTTTTTGTTTTTTTGGTTGGAAATGGAAAACAGCAGTTCATCAAACGGGCCCATATAAAAAAAAAAAAAAAAAATTTCAATTATCCAAAGGGGCGGGAAAACATTCAGTTCCATTCCCGGTTTGTATCCCTTGAGCCTTTTCTTCCGTCGCCACTCGCCGCCGGTACCAAGTTTCTGAAAGATTTGGGGAAGGAAAGAAATGTCGAAGTTTGAGTACCCGAAGCTTACTCGCTCCGACATCGTCACAATCCTCGCCGACGCTCACATCGTCGCTATTTCCGACCGCGATCTCGTCAACCCCAACCCTGATTTCGTCGCCGACCTCTACACCCGCATCCTCGTCTCCCTCGACTTCTTCCACGAGTACTTCTCTCTCCTTATACCCTCAATTTCCCTAATTTTTCCACTCCGTTAGAAATTCAAATCCCTAATTTTCGTGTTTTTTAATTCAATGGGTATATGGGGATTTGCATTTTCCAGTAACTTTTTGTATTTTCAGTAGTTAAAGAGATGGGTTTGAACCCGGTTTGATTCGTGTTCGAAAAATGAAGCATAATCAATGTTTAGAGCCGTTGGATAACCATTTTGTTTTCAGTTTTTTATTTTTATTTTAAATTGTGAACTCGTTTGGTAACTATCAAAACGAAATGGTCAACAAACAACTGATTATTTTTTTTCAAAATTTTATATTTGGTACTGGAGAAGAGAGAGTCTGAGCTTCAAACCTTCATGGGGTTTCTGATTTATGCAGGGAAGATTTTGGGCAGGTTGAGTTTTCGGCCTTGGAGCAGCTCGAGAACCCTGATTTTCACATGGATTCGGTCCGGACCATGAAGCTATACAACAGAATCAAGGAAGTGGTGGCTTTAGTGGATTGTCCGAAGAGATTTACCTTAAAAGATCTCGTAAAACCTGAGACGGATCGGACTGAATTTTTTGTCAGTGCACTTCTCAATTTCTCTCTTCACAGGTAAGATTTGGTGTTGTTAGTTATTCGTTTCAAGGAAGCACAAATCAAACTTCTCCTGAAGGACAATAGGTCTTCCGATTTCAAACATAATGGAAAAGAGAACATGTTTCACATATGAAAAGCTCAACTGTCTGGTTTAAATAGTTCTATCATAATTGCTTCTCACACATGATAGCTGTTTATGTTGCATATCAGAGAGACAAAAATGAATATCCTTACCCAAGTCGTGGATCAATTAACTGACATAGATGAGCGACGCAAAGGATGGGAGGATAAGATTTCCCAGGTAACTTTAATATAAAAAAGGTTCCTTTAATTAACTAAAAGGTTTAATATCGAAGATGCGTCAATTTCACTAGATTTTTGTTTTGCAGTTGAATGCAGAGATTGCGGACTACAATGAAGCAAGAGAAAAGGAGTTGCCTCTTGTTCAAGAGGTAGATGCAAAAGTTAAAGAATTGCACCACACCGTTTCAGGCCTTAACAATCAGCAAAAGTCACTGAGAACTTCTCGTCAGAAGTTGAAGGAGAAGATCGGAGAAATAGAGGAAAAGGTTAGATTATTGACTGCTTGGCTAACTCGTATATGCTCTAGATAACATAAAAATACACAAATATATTTTAAACCCTGGTAGGTTAGCTTTTGTAATTGCTGCAGATTAAGTAATTGGTAGTGTTGAATTGTTAAGAATTTGACGAGGAGCAAATTTAAGAGGTGAGTTATTTTGTTACGAAGATTCACAGGCAGGCAGAACTATAAAGTAAATTGTGAGATTAGAATAAAATTACTCGGGTCCTCTTTACTCTTTGTGACATCCACCAAACGTAATTTAATGATCTTCCACTCTGGTATTTGTTAGCATGGGTTTCTTATGCTTGATTGGGCCCTTTATTTGACTGAAGTTGGGCATACTTTTAACTGCAACTGTTTCCATTGTCCGTGGGTGCGTGTGCATGTGGTTGCTTCCCAAAACTCTAACCTTATGTATGTAGGAGGGAGAGTAGATGGGCCAACATAGATCAATCCTTCCGAAGTGTTACGATTGAAGAATGGATACAACAGAAATGTTTTAAAACTTCTTTTTAAAGTACAATTACTCCCACTGCTTATTTTCTTTTCTTCAGTTGAACATAGTATCAAGTCTCCAACATTGTCAGACATTATTCTTTATTTGTAATGTTTACTCATTTAATAAAATTCTTTTTCTTTTTAAATGATGCCCGTGTTAAATTTTGATTTATTGTGATCAACTCTTTATGCAGATGTATTTAATTATAAATGTATGTAATCATTCTTCTGGTTTATTCCTTTTACTACAGGTTTCGAGTGCAGAGTTTTCTCTGGTACAAAGTGTCCAAGAAAATGCAAATTTGCGCTCAAGAATTGTTCAGTCACCAGATAAATTGCAGGTATCTTCTCTTCAAGTTCTATTTTCTGAATGACATTTCACCAAATAGTATTACTACATTCCTGTTGATTGCATCCCTACTCTAGGTGTTACAAGGCTCATGAAGTTTTTCTAGTTTTATTTGCTGTAGTTAAGCAATTTGTAGATTTTATATGGTCATGCTTTGGAGATCCATATGACAACCTTAACTTGTTACTGACCATGATAGGCGATGCAAGAATTTGAGATAAGATTATTAAGTAATTTTTGCTACTTTTGCCTTATTCCATTGCAAAAATATTGGCAAGTAGTACAACATAGAGTAACTTTTTCTTCAAGATAAGCCTTGCAAGGGCTTACAAGAAGTTGGGCCACTCCACTATTGCCTATCGGTTTTAGTGTGGAGCCTCAATTTCTGTCATACTAAAATATTTCACATATCGCCACGGAATCATTCTGGAGGAATTGTTGTAGTCAGAATATTTATAGTACCTGCACGAATTGGATTGCCATTCTACTACAATTCTACAAAAACTGCTAATAACAAATAAATCGTTGTATCCTTTCGACTCCCTTATAGCCCTGTTCTCCTTTCACTTTCTAACTTGAAATTTTTCTTAAGTATTTGTTGTGTTTCCTGTTTACCTATGATACTCGATTTCATCTTATGGGTGTTCCTAATGAGGGTTTAAAATTACTTGTCTTTGTACCTTACTAGGTAAAAGTAAGCCTATCATTTTGTCGATGGTGGTCAATGTTTCTTTACTTTTCTTTCATTGATTGCTCACCAGAGTTTTGCTCATTTTGCAACTAAAAGAAATGATTTGTTTTTTGGGCTCACAGAGGGCTTTAGAAGAGAAGAAATCAGTTCGTGAGGAGGCGAAAAATGCTGAAAGGTCAGCGAAGCAATCTTTTGAGGAGAAGACTGCTGTTGATGAGGTTTATACAAAGGTAATCTATTACGAAATTCAATGTTAATTTTTTGTTACTATTCTTCATTCTGTCCTTTTATTTGTTGATCCAATTCTGTAAAGTTATAAACACTGTTTTATCTGTATCTACCAAAAGTTGTATCCTGATGATATCTAGCATATCCAGAAATGTTATAATCTTTGAATGTTGGTAGGTATTCAACATTTTTTGTCAGAAATGACTATTGATTACAAAAGATTTACGCTTTGACATTAAAGATAAAATTGTATGCGTGGTGATCAATAGCTCCAATCCTTAACAACGTCAAGGAAATGCTTACGTGATTGCATCTTTTCTCAATCCAGCATATAAAAATACAAACAGCCACTATTATTACATGAATCTACAAATAGTATGATATTGATCTCTGGCACCCAGTCTTGATCCATATATGATGCAATATGTCCTGATACGATTTGCTGAAAATAGATGATCGTGAAGATGCAATTAAACAATTACTAAGTTAATGGAAGCAATACAAAAACTGAAAATTACATGTTAAAAAATAATTTGTAATTTAGTAATTGCTGATGTGTGTGCAACTGTGCGTGCCATATATCAAAAAACATGTGTGCGGCATCCATGTAAGGATATACTTTAGTATAATATAACATTGTAAAGTTTTATTGGTCAGGTCTCTAAGAAATTGTCAAAGCACTTGGCCCAAATGCAGGCTATACAGGAACAGGTATGCATACCTTAATTTTGTATCCTTTAGTGTAATGATCTCCGTAATGTGAAGTCCTTGTTGTAGAGTGTCTTCTATTCATGAGAGAAAACATTCTTTGCGATAAAGGAGTTCCATTGTCGACATTCTTATTCATGCAGTGCAAGTGGCATTGCTTTAAATGTATTCTTTCAAAACGTTCAATTGTTTAAATATTAGGTCAATTCTGCTAAATCAGTCGACAGAGACGTTAAGGCTGTAAAAGCTAAACTAAGTGATGATGGAGTTGTAAGCAAGTCTCTTCAGGCCAAACTGGTTGAACGGGAGGGAAAAGGTAGATTCACAAAACTACATTGAATCTCTTTCCTAACATATCGATAGGACTTTTATCAAAAGAAAAAAATGTAGATAGTGATAAATGTTGGGATAAATTGATAGTGGTTCTACAAAGTTCAGAACTCTTTTTGTTTTTCTCTAGTGGAACAGTTGAATGAACTAAAAAAGCAGCTAGAAAGAGAGAGAGATCTAAAGTTTGAGGAGGCTTCTAAAGATTTGAATAATGTGGAGCTGGAGGTGGAATCTAGGAGGCGTGATCTAGAAGCAAGGCATAAAGCTGTTGAAGCTGCAGTGGAAGAGGTACTTTCTGTGTTTTAGATTATAAATAGCGAGCTTCTCTCATTCAATCTGATGTACAAATTGATATTTAACCTTTGCAATTGTTAGGTGGATTCTATCACTTCAAAGACAGCATCGATAAAAGAATCTGGAGCAGCTGATCAGAAAGAATTAGCTCGTAAATGTGAGGAGATCATGAAAGAGGTACCCTACCATGCCACTCATCGGTTCCCTTCCGTGCTCGGCTGGCTTTAGGATTACTGAATTGTATTTTCCTCCACCCTGAAACATTGGTTCCTTTCCTTGCAGTTCCACCAGTACCAGAACTCAATTAGGGTCCTGCTGCTGGGGAGCCAATAGTTCGTTGAGCACGCAGCAGGTTCTTTTGGATTTGTTGGCCGGTTTGACTGCAGAAAGTAAGCATCGTGCATCTCTAAACAAATGAGCTGCAGAAAGTTAAGGTATATATTTTCCAGTTGTGTTTGGTTTGCATGTATATTTTGCAGAGACGTACTTTGTGTTTGTAATGGGTGTAATTGTTTAGGAAGGCACAGAAAGAACTTACATCTGGTTTGCCACACTTTTTCATTTGAAAGTTGGACCTCCATTGCTTTACGAAATGAACAATACTTTGGTGCATTCCCAGTTGCATCTCCGTGTCTCCACTCCAGTTGTGATTAACGAATATTAACTGTGCACGTCATATTCAGAATTGATAATTTACCAAGCCCCAATATAAAGATCATTTTTGTAAAAAAAAAATTAATCAATTTGAAGATCGTTTGGTAATGTATATGTAAACGATGGTTTTGGTAACTAAATAATCTCCAATTTGGTTACTTTTTGCAGATGTGTTTTTAAGAGAATTACTCCAAAGTGGTCATTACGACCTCTTCTCTTTTAAGAACGAATAAGTGTATGATGACTTTTTTGTAGTGTGTATAGTGAGATAGTGATCAAGAGCATCTCTAATGGGATATCCTATTTTAAGGTCTTCACCACCATACTTGAGGACTTTTTTAGGGGCTTCAAGGGATATTCAGGTCCTTTAAGAAATATTGTCTCTAATTATTATAGTAGAATTCTTAAATATAGGGACTAAAAGATTAAAAATTAAGGAAAATTAATGACAAGGGCTTGAAAACTTTGAATTTTAACGATAAGGACAAAATAAATGGTAAAGTGAATAGTACCAGGATTGACTTTTTGGTGTAAAAACATAGTTTTTCGTTAAAATGAACAGTATCATGAGCTTTTCGTTAAAGTTCCCTAAACATTATTGGTAATTTCGCAATCGTTGATCAAAATGGTAAAAAACAAAAGGAGTAGGATTCTCTCTCCTCTTTTTTTCCCTCCCCTTCCCTTCCCTTTCATTTGAAGGGTCATAGTTAAGTTTAACATCTTATATTAATTTTTTTATAGAAAGAGAAAGACAAAATAGAAAATGTGAGAGGAGGAGATAGAAGAGGATGAAAAGAGGAGAGGAGAGAATTCTAGTCCATAACAAAAAACAATCAAAAAACTATTAGGACAGTTGATTTTTCCATCAATAAACAAAGAAAAGGTAGTGGGACTCGCTCCTAATGCTGCGCCGGGCAAGTAAGAATTATTCACAGGGCAAATTTCTTTGCCGCATATCCTGATCGTCGAAGACTCAAAGTAGGGAATGGATGAAAAATGAAGAACCGAAAGATCGAAGGGGATCCATGCTTTGGTTTGAAATTCTGAAGAAAAGGCTTGGGAACAATACGACCAAGTCTATGGTACTTGAATAAGAGATGCTGAGTGATCTCGTCGTTGAATTTGGAACACCTTGCCTTAAGATTCGTGTGTTCGAAAGCCAAAGTCATTTGATAATGCAAAGAGCCACCTCTTGTTTATTATGCACAAAAACCATGGCAACTCTCATCATTTCTGTCTTCGTGCAATAACTTTCGAGGCCGTACGTTTGAATAAGAAACGTCATGGTTCGCGGGTTACAAAGTCAAGTTGCCATGCGTCAAAAAGATTTTAAGGCAGTATGCCTGATTTATTCTGAAATGTAGATCTTTGTATAACTATCCACCATCAAGAGGAAAAGTCCTTTCGGATGCGTAGTTAGGAGCAATTGTAAGACTATGATTTTTAAGATCCAAAGTAAGACAAATTGGAATATGAGCACCTTAGAAGTCTGGTCATGGACTTAACAATTTCTATTGCAGAGCTGAATAGACAGAGCAACGATGTCATCATCATCCTATTCTGGAGCAGTGCGCTATGTACTTCGCTGATATTGACTATTCTTGGAATTCTCACAATTTAAGGATTGACGTGCGTCTTAAGTAAGCATACTCCTAAGATGATGCAATATCTATTCCTATATATCCTTTAGGATTATCCTGGTTTAGTAAAGATTGCATATCCTAAAAGGTCCCTACCACAACTGGTATAAATAAACTCTTATAGGGTTCATCTTTGGTAATGCAATTATCACACACTTATTCACTTACCTACTGCTTGACTCCTTTATATTTGCTTACTAACTTGACTTTTGGAGAACCTTTAGCCGACACCCTCCCTTTGGTCCTTGGCTACTTATGATTGTTTATTGTTTTACAAGTTATTCAAGTTTGTGCATCTCCACCCTTCACGGTAGTGCGCGATTTAGTTCCAACACACCTCTTTAGTGTAAATATCTCGTGTTTTAATTTGTATTATGAAATTTAAAAAAAAAAAAAAAAAAAAAAAAAAAGCTTATTGCACAGTGGATGAAAATTGGACGACAGAAGATGGCTCCCATATCATCTTGTCATCCTTCATGGTTAAAGTGAGAGGAAGGTGCAAAACCTGTTGCACTATTGACGAAAATAATTTCACAAAATAATTTTATTAAATAAAAACTTCGAGCGTGAATAACATTTAAATCCAAGGAAGAGTTATAAAAAAAATAACCAGAGCTAAAGAATGACTAATAATAAGTTCATCCAACTACTAATCAAAATCACAAGAAAATCCTTCCATTACCGATCATCAATGATTATTTCTATTCAAGAGCAAGGAAAACACGCTTCAAATTCCACGCTTAAAATTATCAGGATGGTGAATAATTCATATTTTTCAATTAATTAGTCTAACCAAGTAACTAAAATTGAAAGAGGCGCAGAATTAGTTAATTGCATCACTATTTCTCAAAACCTGCATACGTTCCATCTTATGATTATAAATATGCACTAACGACAAAGAACGTTCTTTAATATATACAATATATCTATGTTCAACAAACTACTTTCTCCCAACCGCAATAGCAAATTTTGAAAAGGAAGTAAAAGATATGGGTATCAAAACCTCATAAAAATAAATGCCGGTTAGTAACTAAAGTATAAAGTGGTTGCTCTGTCATTTTTCATGAACAAAATATAATGATTTGAGTCTAGGAATTCAGAGAAGCTTCAATGATTAGTAGAGAGACCTCTAAAAGTTTCCCTAACCAATTTATATGTCAACCATTGCCGACGACAGGGAGAGAGTGAAATATATTTTTAAGTAAGACATACGCAAAGCCTTTATGGGAAAATGGCACAATTCAACCATTTCATCAGCTTTTATAGTTCTTTCTACGTCCTCTGGAATGGTTTTCTTTTGATCTTCGGTCTCCCAACCACCTCCCATATCTTCTTTTGAATTTCTGTACACCGTGGATTCCTTCCATCACAATAAAAGCCTCTATATTATTATAAGATTTTGATTTCAGAGAAGTACTATGTCATTCTTTGTATTGTTTTACTGTATTTATATGAGTTTTGTCCTAGAATTCGAGATGAACTGCAATTTTAATTTGAATCTTTTGTCAATTGTGTAGGTTGCTATTATGGCCCACATGTTACTCTCAACACTTCTTCCACAGTACAACTATGAATTTCCACAAAACTTTACTTCTGTTTATTTTCAGAGAAGGAAATTTATAACAGTAGAAACAAATAACATGAGTTTTGGGTTTTCAAGAGTCGAATTTCTTTGTTCAAACACGGGGAGAGAAGGATGACATAAGAGATGAAGACCCACTTCATGGTAGTTCCTTTTACTATATTTTATATTTTGAATTATTTGTCAATTTGTCTCTCGAACTTGTATATAGCTGTTAATTTCTCCCATGAATTTTAATTTTAATTGATTACCCTATGAACTTTTATAAATAATCAATTTCCCCTAGCTTTAGATTTTAAAAAAAAAATTCATCAATTTTTCCATCCATCTTGGTCATGCGGATAACACATGGCAACTATAAGATAATTTTGTTTTGGTAAATTGGGTGCAAAGCCATACTTTCTAGCTGCTAATTGGACTCTCATGTCTAATTCAAACATAAAGTGTACAGAGTCAACTAGGATAAAATTACTTTCTTACCCTCAAACATTTTTCGTGTGACCAAAATGGATATAAAATTGGATGAAAAATTCAAAATCTATTGGCTAATTATAAAAGTTTAGGAGGGTACTCGGCATAAATTAAAATTCCAGGGGAGAAATTAACAACTTCTTACAAGTTCATGTGGGAGACCCGGGGGGGGGGGGGGTGGGGACTTCTATGTTGCTAATAACCTATTGTATCATAACCTGCAGTTTGCAAAGATAATGATACCCACTATTTATTTTTATTTCTAAAACACACCATTTAAATTTTGGGCATCAAATCGAATGAATTGGAGAAGATTAATGAAAAAAATTAAAAAAACTGTGTGAGAGATAAAATAAACGTTCGAATAGCACTATCCTTTACAAAATTTGCATTGAGAAAATAGTTATTCTTAAATTTCAGGTAGACGGGCCATGGGCCCATTCCAACAAAACCGATATTGTCCCCACTTGGTCACCTACTCAATCCGTTAGGTGTGGGGTTCTAATACAAAAGGCCTCAGTGCTAGTTAGAGTGGGGTAATTCTATATAAATGGCTTGTTTAGAGTGAGGTAATTCTATATAAATGGCTTGTTCTCAAGCCTTTTGGCCGATGTGGGCAAAGGAATTCTAACACTTCCCCGCACGTGAGACCCCATTTTATGGGTCACACATGGAGTTCCACACATCAGCAACCACATGGAGCCAAGCCGGGGCTCAGCCGTTCGCGCTGGGCCAATGTATGTGGCATCTCTTGGCCTACGTGGAGCCAAGTTAGGGCTCACCCATTTGCGCAGGGCCAAAGGGGACCCACCCGTTCACGTGGATGTACGGACCAGTCCCTGGCTCTGATACCATCTTAAATTTCAGGTAGACAGGCCATGGGCCCATTCCAACAACACCGATATTGTCCCCACTTGGCCACCTGCTCAATTCGTCAGGTGTGGGGTTTTAATACGAAAGACCTCAGTGCTAGTTAGAGTGGGATAATTCTATATAAATGGCTTGTTCTCAAGCCTTCTGGCCGATGTGGGCAAAGAAATTCTAACAGTTATAAGCGTGCAATTTGTTTTCTTGTTTTGTCTTTAGCCTGTGTACCCCCTCACTTGAATTGTAGGAAACGTTTGTTAAAGTGCCTTTGTGGAGGCGAGTCAACAATTCCAACCAAAAGCCAAAATTGCTCAACTAGTGAGTTAACGGGTAAAAGGCATTCAATTGTTGTTGTTTTTTTTTTTTTAGAATAATTTTGATTCCGGTTCCTAATCAACCAAATTGTTAGACCAAAAATTTATTTGGTTAAATATTTTGATCAAAGTCCTTAACATAATTTGAGAGATTTAACTCATGCAATT